GCTAGAGCCGTTTCATGCTTTGGGGGCAAAACGGTCCTCGCTGGAGCAGGATTATTTCGAACAGTTCAATCGATCGAACGTTGATGTTGTCAACCTGCGTGAAGTCAACATCGCTGAGGTCAAACCCACCGGTATTACCACCAGTGATGGAACCTTTTATCCTGTTGATGCTATTGCCGTAGCTACAGGCTTTGACTCGGTGACCGGTCCCATCACGAATATGGGCCTTGTAAGCACGGACGGTAAGCCGCTGGCTGAGGAGTGGAAGGGTGGTGTCCACACGTACCTAGGAATGACGAGCCATGGCTATCCGAATATGTTTTTCATCTACGGGGCTCACGGCCCTACGGCGCTCAGCAATGGTCCGGTGTCCATTGAGCTTCAGGGCCAGTGGGTTATTGATGCGATTCAAAAGATCGACAAGAGTGGATTGTCGTATGTTGAGCCTACCGCCGAAGCAGAGCAGAAGTGGAAGGAGTTAGTGAATCAAATTACCGACATGACCTTGTTGCCAAAGGTGGACTCCTGGTACATGGGAGCTAATATACCCGGCAAGAAGCGAGAGCATCTTAATTTCCCGGGTGGTCTAGCACTCTATGAACAGCAGTGTCGACAGGCATTAGAAGGATGGGAGGGATTTAAAACTGTATAGGTTTATTTTCGAGATTACACCACTCGCCGAGGTTTCTGTAAATCTAGAGAAGGATTGATAATCATGATTTCATTGACGAATATATATTCTCTATACTCAAGTCTTATACTGTTGCTATAGTCGAGCTTTACCACTCTGTAATACCTCCCAATCGCCCCTACCGAACTTCTTGTATGACGGATCCCCTGGGGGCAGCCAGTAGAATTGATCTTCTTTACCCTCCTCGACCTTAGTCCCAGTCTTATCTGGGTCGACCCCTTCATCTCGCAGCGGTACTTTGTTCTGTTTGTGGTTATGGATATGGGTCGAGCTCTCCACAATGCGCAGGAACACTGGGACAGCGTATTTAGGGAGCCGGGAACGAGCGAACCTGGCAAGTTCTTGAAAATTGAAGTTTGTATTAGCCTCCGGGTTGATTTGAAGGGCTGCGCAGCCTGCGCGGCCTTCGTGATGTGGAACAGTGACACCGTAGACATTGGCTTCGAGGATACCAGGATATTGACCGAGGACTTCGGCAACTTCTGCGGTGGCACTGTACCACCGTCAGTTCAATTTACTCAACCAGATCAGAGTTAAAGGCACTTACACATTCTCGCTCTTCCACCGGAACGTATCTCCTAAGCGATCCAAGAAGTACCACCGACCATCAGATTGACGGCGCAGAGCATCCCCAGATCGATAGTAAATGTCGCCCTTGCGGAACACATTACGCAAGAACTTCTTTGAGGTTGCATCCTCATTCTTCCAGTAGCCCTGGAAAGCCTCTTTGTTTGGAACGTTCACGATAATTTCACCGCCCGTCTCATAAGGGGCCCGCACAACAAAACCCGTTTTAGGATCACGGAGGACGTCGCCTGTATTCGGGTCAATGGCCACAGGTATGAACACGTTGTGCAGCAGCAAACGCATGATCAGTCCGTGGTGACCGACACTACCGCTCGTGAACGGGCCAGTGTTGTAGTTGAAAAGGGCAAAGATGCCTTCGGTACTATTGAAGAACTCTCCCACCTCTGCTATGCCAAAGCGTTCTCGGAACTTGTCCCAAACATCCGGGCGTAGGCCGTTGCCGTACATACAACGCACCCGGTGGTTTCGATCATCAGGTGAGGGGGGCGCAGCGAGTAAATAACGTGCTGCCTCTCCGACATAAACAAAAAACGTCGATTGAGAATCCCGAATATCACTCCAGAATTGTCGCACACTGAATTTCTTGCCCAGACCAATGCCCCTTCCGCTCACAACACAGTTGATCATGGCAATTGCTGAGGTCCCGTGGTAAAGGGGCATACAGCTATACCAACGATCGCCGTCGGGGCCTGGTTTGTCTGCCACCATGCCGCCAGAGCGTAGGAGCACCGTGGTGTATAACCGGGACATCGTGAAGGCGCAGCCTTTCGGCATGCCCGTAGTGCCGGATGTATAGAGTAAAATAGCTGGGTGTTCGCCATCCATGTTCAATGCCAGACGGCCATTCTCAGGAACGTCTGTGGGGAATCGTGACAGCACGGTGGTAGTAAACGTAGGATCTACCATGATAAGCTCCATGCCGAGCTTACCCTCGATCGACGATTTGCACTCGTCTATGCGGGCACGGCACTCATCATCATCATCCACCAGCACCAGCTTGGCACCGCTGATCTTCAAACAATGCAGCAGTGCATCGCCCGACAAGTTATAGTTGATCGCGGCTGGCGCGCATCCAATACTCCACAAGCCAATCCACGCGAAGATGAACTCAGCCCGGTTCTGCAAATAAAACGCCACAAGATCACCTTTCTTCACGCCCCTCGATAAAAAGAAGTGTCCGTATTGATTCGCGAATGCCATGATTTCGCGGTATGTGTATGATCGCTCCCGCGTCCAAATGCAAACCATATCGGGATATCGAGTAGCGGTCTCTTTGAAGAGGAACCAGATATTGCCCTGTTTCTGGGAGACGGCGCGCGCATACTCGCGCTCGCTGCTCCGGACATTCAAAAGGCTGGAGACATCCTTGGATATGTGGAATTTGGCGTTGAGATACGCTGCCAATGTCGCTCCACCAGCGACTGCAGCTGCTATACATATTGTTAGAATAGAGAATACCGAATGGAGTCATTATTATACACACCGAGGCTCATTTTGGTATGTGCTCTAATTAATTACAGAGTGATGACACCTGTAACGCACCGAAGCAGAAAATGTATATGTAAGAGAGGATAAGAATGCGGAGAACTCGACGATCTTGTATTTCCTAGCCGGTGCATTATAGCCGACATTGAAAGTCCCTCGGTTGCTCCGCAATGCCCCCTCTTATATAGGAAAGACGCCGATCTTCGACATAACACCAGAGCAAGAGAAATGCATAGTTGGGAGAAGCTCACTAACTGGAGCATAAAAATGCGGGGTCCACCTTTACCCTCGGTTTTTCATCAACGTACTATGCCGAGAGGAGAGTTGCCACGACGCCGAATACGATGGTCACGTCAACTTCTCCAAGCTCCTTCCCCATAGATTAGGCCTCGACTGCCCGGAAGCGAATGTTATAGACAAGCCATCTCCCCTGGCTCTGGCCAGGAGAGAGGTGATCTTTTAGGAGATTGCCCCTAGGCCTCGGGTTTGCCATAGAACATCAGACGATGCTGAGTGGTTGGTGCCAACGTAGAAAACTGGGTCTGAACGTTCATGCAGTTCCCCACATAATTATGCAAGGTGAGGAGCGAGCAACCCCCAGGAACTATTACGAGGGTTCACCAGTATCACCTTTTGTTTGTTTCTCAACATTTTCATGTTTGTTTGCGGTTCAAGTCCCACTGAAAGTTGAGTGGGGATCCCAATGAGTCAACAAGTTTAGCCCTAAAAGTTGGCTATCGGCGTTAGTTCGGCCCGACTTGTATAGAGAGGGACCTCGGTGTAAGTGGGGGACGTCAAAGGAACCTGCGTAGGAATCCTAACAATACACCCAAGACCGTCAAGGTCGATCCACAGCATTGAACAGAGTTCAGTAGTATCACTAATCATAGATCTCAGCATGGTTCATCCTTGGTAGCCTCGATAGTAACAAATGCCGAGCGGCAAGATACTCCGTGGAGCTTTTTAGCTCCAGGTGAGGACTTGGGCATGAATCTAATCAGACGATATATTGACGTAGCAAATTTGTAAATAATCCGTTGAGATGTCGACAGTTAGCTAATTAGCTGCTTACTTACATAGTGGCGTGGTGTGTGTGAGGTGCGTAATCAGCGTGTGGTCCGGGGCAAACAGTCGTAGTCTATCACCAAATAGTTGATATTTGGATTTTGTCACTTAAGTATCATGAAAGCTATATAAGGTTCGTATATTGATATAGCACATAGAATAGTTACCCTTTTAAAATTATGTTAACATTAGGCCTCTAGTCAACAGGGCCCACACCAGGTACTAAGTGGCTTGTTTATACCAAGTACTGCCTCGCAAAAATCGTCATGGCTTGGACAATTGCCACAATTAGTGGCTTCGGCCCCATCCCTGCTTATCCTTATATTGAATGTAGGAAATCTCACCCTGTTAGTCGAAACTGTAAGCGACCACCATAATTGCACCCCGGACATACGATCTCCGTATCGGCCATGACATTCTCCTAATCAACAATTCCCGGACAATTCAACCCCGACCAATAGTAATACTACTGCTGTCTAGCACACTTTATGTACCATGCCAAGCACTTATAGCCTTGCCCCCGCGTTGCGGAACCTAATCCTGACGCGCTTGTAGACGTCCGACCACTATTGCACTATGTCATCCCATTTGCCAAGTTCACGCCAAGGGCGATTGGCGGTCTTGCACTCTCCGTAGACACTGGCCATATCTAGTTGCGGACATGATAAAGATACATAGCCAAGACTGGGGAGGCAGTGCAAAGCTTGGAATCTGGGGTAAACACGATGATGGGGCTATCTCTAATTCCCCAGGCCTCACCTCGTGGCACACCTTGACAAAGCAGAGCATGCTCCAGATGATAAGAAATCTAGCTGGCACTCTGGGCATCTTCTTATTTTGCTACATGGCAACTCTTGAGTATGAGGTATATTTGGACAGAGTTTGCCAATCTTTGGGCTATACGCTATCTTCACGTTTGTATAGGTCGTTTCTTCCCGTTGTAGGATTGACTAACCCGTGGAAGTAGATATCACCGTTCTTGGCCTTCTGTTGGTAACCCCGCAATTTCATAGATGTAATCTGGGGTGCAGATAGGATCTGCAATGTGAGAGTCATAGTCGGCTCAAGGGTGAAGTAAGTATAAAAGCCCTTCCAATAGTCATCTGGTCATGTTCTTCCTGTTCCCAAAACCATTCCTTCTTACCTGTCTCGAAATAATAACCCTAGCAAGATGTCTAACCCAGAGAAACCCCCTCTCCCAGACACAGACGAAAAGCCTGAAGCCCTCCACCGGGAGTACACACTGGGTCAGGATGGCGTCAAGTCACCACATCACCAGGGCGACTACTCCGGTGCGCGGAAGAAGACAGACCCTGTAGAGATTCGTCTGGTCCGCAAACTAGATACATGGATCATGCCCACGTTATGGCTGATGTACTGGCTCAACTACCTCGACCGCAATGCGATCGCCTTGGCGCGGTTGAATGACCTCGAGGAGGATTTGAACTTGTCGTCGTCCGAGTATCAGACTTGTGTTTCTATCTTGTTCGTGGGATACCTTCTGGGACAGGTTCCGAGCAGTGAGTCTTTTTCATTATTCTTTCTCGGCTTGATGTAACGGATACTAGTATAGGCTGACCTCGTGCGTAGATATGTTGATTACTAGGGTGAGACCATCGTGGTATATGGCTGGATGTATGGCTCTGTGGGCTGTTGTTAGCGCTATTACAGCTTTGGCAAAGGACTTCAAGGGACTGCTGCTCGTCAGGTTCTTTCTTGGTGTTACTGGTATGTCTTTGCATTCCCTTAATGGCTTCTCTAAGAGACTATCTGCTTATGATATGACAGAGGCCCCATACTATCCAGGTAGGCCCATATTTCACCCCGTGGTCTCTCTATCTAGACATATCCTCACCCCATACACAGGAGCTCTTTACATGTTATCGATCTTCTACACACGGAAAGAAATCGCAACTCGCATCTCGATCCTGTATGCCGGCAACATCCTCGCAACCGCCTTTGCCGGCCTCATCGCAGCAGGCATCTTCCATGGCATGGATAACCTCGGCGGTATCTCTGGCTGGCAATGGCTCTTCATCCTCCAGGGCGCAGTCACCTTCCTCATTGCCGTCTTATCAATCTTCACACTCCCCGACGATCCCCTGGTCACCCGCTGGCTCACCGAAGAAGAACGAACCCTAGCCCACGAACGCATCGTAGCAGATACCGTCGGCGCCCGCCACCAAACCAGCACCTTCAGCGGCCTCAAAGAAGCAGCCCGGGACCCGAAACTATGGCTCTTCGCCTTCATGCAACACATGCACCTCGCCGCAAATGGCTTCAAGAATTTCTTCCCCACAGCCGTCGAGACATTAGGCTTCTCGACAACCATTACTCTTGTGCTGACCTGCCCGCCGTACTTAATCGCCGGAATAATCTCCGTGTTTTGGTCCTGGAGCTCCGGCAGGCTTAATGAGAGGACTTGGCATATTACTGTTGCCAAGGCGATTGCTATCTTTGGGTTTATCCTGGGTTGTGCGACGTTGAATACCGGGGCGAGATATTTCGCCATGGTGGTTTTTGCTATTGGTACTTATGCGGTTAATAGTATCGTGTTGGGCTGGGTGAGTAGTACGTGTGGCCAGACTAAGGAGAAGAAGGCTTCGTCTTTGGCCATTGTTAATACAATTGCTAATGCTTCGTTTGTTTGGACTCCGGTATGTTCTTTTTTCTTTTACTTTTCTTTCTCTATGTATAGCTCTGCTATGGTGACTAGGATACACGGGAGTGGCTGTGCTAATGGTTGTAGTATCTCTGGCCCTCGTCCGATGAACCTAGGTATACGATGGCGATGTCCTCCAGTGCGGCATTCTCGCTTGCCTGTGCGGCCAGTGCGTGGGCAATGAAGATATGGCTTATTCGGGCGAATAGGAAGATTCGTGGGAGTAATGATGAATCGGTGCTATACTATGCTTATTAGGGTATGGGTTGGCTGTTTCGACCATTAATTCCATTCATTCTATGTATCTAAGTGAGCTGTACGTGCTGTATACAAAAGCATCACTTGATCCGAATTCCCAGTTACGTGTTTCATATCATTCCTCCCCATCATTATTCACAGCCGTCTTGGTGTTTATCCTCAGATTTTCTATCCATATTGTGTCTTTAAGTCAATCTGATCTTCAGTCCCGGTCAGTAGCTTGTTGAGCGCGGTGTGTTCCATCCAGGTCATCCTGCCTTCAATCACGGAGTGCCAGTGCTCGTTTGGGAGTGAGGTGCTAGCTATTACAGAACTCCGGGCTCGCCCGCAGGACATCAAGGCGCGATTCAGCTGTGAGAAGATGTAGAATACTTTGACGCAGTTCAACTGGGAAGCGAAAGAATGGGTCAACATATTGGTAATCTTTTGCTTCGTCCCATGTTTCAGCATTAATCGCCTCTAGACCGTCGCGTCTTGCGTCTTCCAGGATCTGAGAGAAGTCCGGGTCATAGTTCGGGTCTGTAACAAGCCACTAGGACTAGGTTAATACTTTCAGTGAAAGCTGGCATGATCATTCATACCTCGTATCCATCGAGGGCCATCCACCTATGTCCTTGGAATTGCCCGGCGCCGCCATAGTAGCAATCACCCCAGTTGATAACGGCGTCATTGCTCTTACACTTGCGCATTTCCATCCGGGGGAATATCTCGCGTCCCAGGGTGGCCATGTACTTATCCCTCATGCCCATTTCATGAAGCATCATAGAGCACACATTATGCACGACGAATCTCTCATCCTACGCAGCGAACTCGAATTCATTTTCAAGGCCATTTAAGTTGGTTCGAAAGATACGGGATGGCTTGTATTCGTATGTTCCCTTGGTTTGCTTGATATGCACAACTGTAACTCAAGGGGTTTACACACCATCATACTAACATAGTATGCACCTTCTTTCTCTAAGTACTCTCCATCATGAATATTAGCACACACGATCCTAGTCAGGTTGAGCCACTACAGATCTCGTCAATTATTGGGGTTCACTTCAGCTTAACTTTGGATTCTTGTCCCATACCGCAGTATTCCTTGCGGTAGTAAGATATGGGTCATAAGTAGAAGGCTGCACGAAGTTCGTGGACAACGGTCCTCCGACAATATTGCAAAAATGCTCGCCTTCATTCATTTTCGTCGGTTGATTGCCACTCTAAGTCTTCGAAAGAGCCCACCTGACGTAGGAAGCACTGAACTCACGAAAATGCGACGTCAATGGCCTTGGTTCTGCCGCTGGGTTCCAGGATGAGAGAAGCCTATAGTGATTGTACACTGAGACGATTTATCCTGAAATAGTTAGAGGGCACGATCCTTGATAGTCAGTAGCTGTGCAATTGAAGCAACCTGCCGACCTTTCTTGACCAAGTATCAAGCTTTATAGATTAGCATTTCCCTCAGTCCTTATAGAGATCTCTGTGATAGGCAATGTGATTCTTGATTAGGCTCATCACGCCTCAACGAAGGGAGAAGAAAGAAATCCCGCTGTTTGCGACAGCTTACTCAATCGGCTTTTCTTTCTCTAACCAAGCTGTTAAATGTTACTGGCTAATGGGAGATTCTTCTGGAAACAAACAAGCTTATAGATGGTGAATTGCACCGGAGTGGGCAAACCAGATGGCCGGTGGGCTTGGGTGTATATCTGCATTTATCCACAACTTGGGTGATATATTCGGACCAAATACGTGTATACCATTCACAGTTCATAATTCTCCTTTGTTAAACAAAAACGGAGTTATCTTGACCCATAAGGTAATGACCTCTTATACCTAACTCTATTCCTTATATGCTAACAGCGAAGCCTTATATCCCAACTAAAACACTATGCCGCGAGTGGAAGATGATCCTCGAGTCATGCAAAGTCTCGAAAAACTCTCGTTGGCACCAGTTTCTCATGCACACCTCTCTTGCTTTCGTGGGCTGGCTTCCACGCCCAGGCCTGGTCCTTCTGCAGGCCGTTGCTGACACCGTTCAGCACGTTGACCACATACTTTCCGATTGTCGGGAGGAACTTGTAACAATGGAACGAGCCTCCTACCGCAAAGTACAGGTTTGAAAGGCTAGGATTCGGGTGTCTAGTGATGAGTGGCTGTTGGTCAGGGGTAATAGAGTCCCAGCACAGTCGATAGTAATCTGGTTTGCGGCCACCGTCCAGAACCTGAGGCAAACGCGGCTTAATTAAGCTTATCGAGTCTTCCTGCAGACCCGGTGGAGCATTTATTTGATCCAGAACAGGAACAGATATCTCACGGCCAGACGCTGTGCTGATTATATTCTTGACGGATGTCGCAAACGTGAATTTGAGGATCCCTGAATCTGTCGGAGGTATCACTTCCCCTATTTACTCTCAGCACACGCTAGTTTAATTGTTAGGCATTAACAGACCTTGTCCGCCGTATACAAACACTGGTAGCTGCGAGTATGCTTCTTTCTCAGCTTCTGAGAGCTGAAAATGAGCAACACAAACACCAGCAGCAGATGCCTGGCTCTCTACTCGCTCTTCATCAGGTAGTTCCAGCTCATCTTCAATGGAAGACATTAACTGGCTTGTCCATGCTCCTGTTGCCAGGAGGATCTTGTCTGCTTTGAAGACCGCGCCAGTATCTGTTTCAATTGTATTTATCCCGTCTTCTCCGCGGACAACCCTAAATGCCTCGCCAATATCATACTTGACGCCCATCTTCACGGCCTCATGAGCCATAATGGCTAACGCCTTCCCGGCATCGGTCCATCCCGCCGAGGGATTGAAATAATATGACCCAAATGGACTGCAATCTGTTCTCTGAAGTAGCCCACCCCAGCGACCCTTTACTTCTTCCTCAGTCATGTCAACGATCACGTCATCACGACCACTTTCAGAGAAGTTCTTCCTGATACGGTGGGGCGTGTCACTGTCTTTCTCATCCATCGCAATCCATCCTGATTGATGATAGACACCTACGTCTTGGAAAAATGGGAGGGACTTCCAAGCCTTGATGGCTTCAAAACCCAGACTCATGTACAGTGGGTTGGAGTAGTCCGCGCGGATGATCTTGTTGATATCCGTTGATGCGGCCGGGGTGGAGGGAGGGGCTCCCCGGTCTAACAACGTGATTCGAGAAGGGTTGGGACTGCTACGCGCTAGGTGATAGGCGGTGCTGACGCCGAAGATACCAGCACCAACGATGAGAATACTGTCTCCTTCCATACTTGGTTGTGTGGATAGTTTAATGGGTTTGGTGACGATCGGTTGGGTTGATGGTTCAAATGAGGGGTTGGGAGGGGTCATGATTTTATATTGCGGGTGATATCATCCCAACTATTTCTCTACTCACTGATGGCTCAGCGAACTACTACCACAACGTATATCTCTACAAAACTCAGTGCTCTCTACTAGGATTTATACTGTCGCATACGCTATTAGCAAGATGTAGCTCATGCGGTAGCCGACGGCGGTATCTAGCTAAAGGAATCCACATTTAAACTCGACTAATCTTCCAGATCATAGAACCCAGTCATCCACTGCTCATCCGGACTTTCAGATAGCTATGGCATAACAATGAGCGTTTGTTAACCTAAACCCGTCAGAGAATACCTAATCGCGCGTCAAGACAAGGAAAATACACGGCACAAAATCCCAGAAGATACATATCCCAAGCCTGTAAACTACTGTCTAGACCCTCGAATCCACGGTTCTACGACCACATCTACTCTGGCTATGAAGAGGGGCCCAACAGTGGTAACTCTTACACAACATATCAATATATCAATCGTAGCCCCTCCCAATACCCCCCAGCCGTGAACCCTCTCTTCTTGAATCCTATTCGAAATCTCCTTCACAAAAGAACAAAAGGAAGAAAGGGTAGAAAATCCAAAATGCTCACACAAGCCATGCTCCCCCACACCTTCGCCGAAATGCTAAATATAACCCCCTGGGTAGAGTGTCGATGTCTAGGGTTCAGCATTTCCCGCCTCCGCCGCTGCAAAAACAGAATCAGTCCCGCCTCCCGCGCACAAGCCCTGAAATTACTCAATCTGGTTGCGGAACATTTCAACCATGGTCGCGATATCAGGGTTCTCTTGACAGATTTGGCTTCTATGCTCCTGTGCACGGAATCCCATCAGACTCAGGTGCGCCGACTGGCCAACAAGTGGGATTTCCAGGCCTGGAGGTACTGGGTTGATCAACGTGATTCGACGGCTACTTATAATATGGGGAGAAGTGAGAATAGGCCTGTGCAGGGGCAACAGGGAGCTGAAGCTGGAGCTCTCCGCTCGGACGTTGTGCGTGGGCCGATGCAGCAGGTGGAGCAGACACAGCAAGCGCCTGCGGAGGAGAGGCGTCCACAGCGACAGCCTCCAGGACAATGCATCCCTGCTCGGTGCTGGGTAGAGCCGGCCAATCATGGGAATGAGACATTCGTGCGCTCAAGCTCGGGCTTGGGTCAGGCTGCTGGGGTCTCGAATACGAGTGTTGTCCCGGGGATGGTGGCGCCGAGGGTGGTCGAGGGCGAGTGTGGAATTTGTCTGTTAGGGTTTCTTGTTGACGTGACTGGTGAGTCGGCCAGGGAGTACACTGTGGCTGAGAAGAAGCTTTACGAGACGAGGTATGATTATCGGCGGTGGGTGTGGTGTAGGCACCACTGTGGCACGAATTATCATCGAGATTGTATGGATCGGTGGATTACGGTGTCTGGCTTTATGTACCCGAAATGTCCAACTTGTAGCCAGTTTTGGCTTTATTGAATTGTCTTGGTTATACGAGAGCTGATATTATTTCCTTTGTTTATGTTTTGTTGAATTCACTAGTGCCAGTTTTTATTGTTGTATTGGTCATACTTTCTGCTCCGGGTTCGATCGTCTGTCATGTTCTTGTATGAATCACTTGTCGTAAGTCCAACTATATACAAAGTACAACTTCTACAGATCCAAATCGTAACCATTATAAAAGCATAATCAACAGGTATCAAAGCTTCTTCTACCTTTACAGTCGTGCAGCTTTTTTCTCCGTCATCCGGTTCAGCCAGTGTTGGATAGTGTCGACGAACCCGTCGATTTCCTCCATCGTATTACCCGTATGGAGACACACCCGTACCCTCTCCTTTCCTGCAGGAACGGTAGGTGCCATGATTGCACGCACAGTATACCCTTCCTGTTGACACGCTGCCGCCAGCTGACGAGGTAAGGGGCTGCGCAGAGAAAAGATGGGAGATCTCGGGAAGTGATCTACTGCGAAGACTGCTGGGTCCCAGGAACCAAGGTCTTCTAACCTGGCCCGCAAGTATAAGATCAATTGTTGAAGTTTGTGTTGAAGCTGTCGATGTCAGTCCAAATTCTCTTAGAGTCAGTATATACATGGGAACACTCACCGGTTGTGTGATCCCTTCCGACAACAATTCATATGCGGTGCGGATGGAAGCCAAGAACGGGAAACCCAACGCCGTTGTGTAGATCAAGCTTCGCGCATAGTTGATCAGATAATCTCGGGTATCGGCGCAGCACAATACGATCGCTGAAGAACTGTCAGGCACATAAATAACAAATGAAAGTTTCTTGATCGCATACCACCATGACTTGCTAAGGCTTTACCGAACGTATGAACGCGGATAAATATCCGTTCCTCCACACCCAGTTCCTGAACTACGCCAGCCCCGCGTGGACCGAATGTACCCGTAGCATGCGCTTCGTCCACGATAAAATAGCCGTTTCCCCTCGGCAGCAGGCGATCGACGACTTGGAGGAATTCGCGGATCGGCGCAATGTCCCCGTCCATGCTGTAGACAGACTCAACCACAATGAAGACATTCCGGGAGCCATCTTTGGTCTTGGGGTCAGCGTCGAGCTCTGCTTGTAGGACAACTTCCAGGCTCTCGGGTGAGCTATGTGCGAATTGAACTCGTTTCCCTGCCCGGGACAAACGCATGCCCTCTCGTGCGCTTGCGTGGATCAGCTCATCGTGTACAATCAGATCTCCTGGCTGAGGAATGCACGATAAGACCCCGACATTGGCGTCAAAGCCCGAATTGAACAGCAGTCCACTAGGGGCATTATGGAAATCGGCGACGAAGCTCTCAAGCTCCTCGGCATAAGTTGAGTTGCCATCCAGAAGCCGGGAACCTCCACTAGCAAAGGGGTAGAGCGGAGGTGCCTGCTGCAGGTGGTCTAGTAACCGGACTCGATATGCTGGCGACGTTGATAGTGACAAAAAATCATTGGACGAGAAATCCACCGACGTCTGAGGGAGCACTGTGAGCCTTCGACGAGCTGATTTCAGTTCTCTCCGGTGTAAAGCCTGACGCAGTGAGTCACGCAGGGACTTGGGGGAGGAGACATCCATTGTGACTAAGTCCAAGTTCAAGTCTGCCAACTAGAGGCACTAAGTGATTTTACCACACCCAAGAGGGAAAGGGGCACGACAGAGGGTACTCTTATAGGTATGGTGCCTCCCCCTCTGGATAGAGGGGATCGCGGGCATTCTCATCCTTCACACCGGAGACGTGGAGCCGGGGATTTTCACAATGAACAGCGTGAAAAGAGTGGAGCTACTGTTTCCCGTCATTTGGTGGCTTGCTCCGAATGAAGATGCAAAACCTTTTTCGTTGTTGATTATTTCTCTGATTATCCCACGTAATTCAATGACATGAAAACACTAATCTTTACAATGTAAGACTGTCATTTACTATAGTGTATAATTTTGTAATAATGATATATTTAGAAGAATCACTCCTGAGCCATACACAATACCAGATGTTATTCAATTCTCATAAGTGTTGGTTTAGTAGGTAGATCAGTTGCTCACTATGGGGAAAAAGAGACCTAGGGTAAGATGCAGGCTGGTTTGAGTTTTGACCTTGAAGGTAAAAGTATAAGGTGACCCGCCAGAATAAAGGGACTCCTCTCCAAAAAAAAAAAAAAAGTTTGGATGCATATGAGAAAATTGAAGCGCGGGGAGGGGAAAAGAAAAAGAAAATACCAAAACAAAACAAAAAAAAAACAAGGGAAAATAAAAACAAATTAAAAAAAAAAAGAATAATATCCACAAAACCAGGCCGTTGAGGACCAACCGGTGGAGGCGGCGGGCTGCCTGAGTGCCTGGACAGTGTGGCTCCCTCCCGGGCTTGCCTGAATACCTCGGGCCAATTCAACCAACACCTTAACTCCCGGTTCTGGATCTCTTACTCTTCTCGTATTTCTGACTATGAAGTAGGCTGTACACCATACTATTTTTACTTTTCTGACTGTTATATTAACATCATTATTAATATTACTGATCCCTTCTCCGCCTCCTCCTTCCCCCTTATCTTCTTGTTCTCGATCATTCGATGTGTGCTTAGTAGTACCATCTACCCGCTCTGACTGTGATGTCTCCAGTGGGAGCTGCTCTCTGGCGTTCTCTTCGCGCCCATCAGGTTTACGGCGCCAACACTGATGTGGGCAAAACAATTGTCTCGACCGTTCTCTGTAACGCGGTTCAGCGTCAAAAGTCCCAGGATCAGGCGGCCTTTCTGAAACCCGTCTCAACGGGGCCATTGGATGACGCAGATGACCGGTGCGTGGGCTAAATCCAGCTTACCACCAACCAACTTGTCACATATACTGATCCATGATCTTAGACACATCCAACGCCATGCTGTGGGTACATTGACTAAGTGTCTCTATCAATTCGATGAGCCCGTCAGTCCGCATATCGCGGCTCAGCAGAAGAAATTTACCGTACGAAAACCATCCACTCCAACTTGAGGTACTAAACACTAACACTCAACAGATTCCCCGGGATGATGATATCGTGGCTTCGGTCCACAAGACCCTCTCTGACTGGGCAGGCAGCGGGGTCAATTTCGCCCTGGTAGAGACCGCCGGTGGTGTCCATTCTCCCGGCCCCAATGGCAATTCCCAAGCAGACCTCTATCGCCCACTCCGGTTACCGATTGTTCTAGTCGCAGATTCCCGACTGGGCGGTATCTCGGCGTCTATCTCGGCGTACGAGTCACTTTTACTTCGGGGCTACGATGTCCACTCGGTTTTACTGTTTCGCGATGAGTACTACAAGAATCATGAATACTTGCTGAACTATTTCCAGAAGAAGTGTATTCCTCTTGTTCCACTACCTTCGCCTCCTCCAAGGCCGTCAGCACAGGATGCAGGTTCCTTGGCGCGGGATGAGGAAGCCATGGCCACATACTATGGTCGTGTTGCACAGGAAACGGATGTTGCCAGTCTATTGGAACAACTATCTGCCAAGAACACGGAAAGGATCGACCGTCTGGAATCTATGGCTAGCCGGGCGCATGACACCATCTGGTATCCATTCACGCAGCATCATGGCATGGAGGCCAAGGATATCACGCCGATTGACTCCGCTTATGATGACTATTTTCAAACATTTGTGAATTCGGACGAGTCCCATCATGAAAGCAAGCTGCGTGCCACATTTGATGGGTCTGCATCCTGGTGGACGCAGGGCTTGGGTCATGGCAACCCGAGTTTGGCTTTGTCGGCTGCATATGCCGCTGGACGGTACGGACATGTAATGTTTCCAGGAAATATACATGAGCCCGCTTTGTCGCTGGCAGAGCTCTTGATCAAGAGTATTGGCAATCCTCGTCTCCGGAAGGTGTTTTACACCGACAACGGCAGTACCGGCATGGAGGTTGCTGTGAAGATGGGTCTCCGGGCGGCATGCGACCGTTACGGATGGGATGCCAGCCAGGAGCAGATCAGTATCCTCGGCCTCAAGGGAAGCTATCATGGTGACACGATTGGCGTCATGGATTGCTCGGAGCCTTCCACTTTCAACAAGAAAGTCGAATGGTATCGCGGTCGAGGATACTGGTTTGATTTCCCGCAAGTGAAGATGTCGCAAGGAGTGTGGAAGGTCGAGATTCCCGAGAACCTCCAGGAATCTCTGGGTTCAGGTCTCGAATTCTCATCACTTGATGGCATCTTTGATATGGAGGAACGGCTGCAATCGGCCGCGGGAAAGCGCTACAAGGACTATATTCGGAATACTATCCAGGATCTAGTTCAACAGCACGGAATGAAGTTTGGTTCACTTATCATGGAGCCCATCATTCTAGGGGCTGGCGGCATGCTGTTCTGGTCAGTATCGATATGTTCGGTAATCTCAGACGTGTGACTAACAGACTTGTTTAGTGACCCTCTGTTCCAACGGTGTCTCGTCGACGTTGTCCGCGGCCATCCTGAGCTGTTTGACACTAGCGCGGCTAAGTCTGCCAAGGATCATCCAGGGGCCACCTCCTGGTCTGGTCTCCCCGTTATCTTCGACGAGGTGTTCACTGGTCTTTACCGCCTTGGCCGTAAATCCTCGGCCTCGTTCCTCCAAGTCGACTCCGACATCGCTGTGAACGCGAAGCTTCTCACTGGTGGCCTTCTTCCGCTATGCACTACGATGGCCAGTAATGAAATCTTCCAGGCATTTTCGAGTCCGGAGAAGAGTGACGCTTTACTGCACGGACACAGCTACACGGCCCATGCTGTGGGCTGCCAGGTGGCCGTGGATTCGCTGCAGACCATGATGCGGATGGAAAACAGTGGGTCCTGGGATGGGTACCGCCAGGACTGGAAGCCAACCCTGTCAGACCTGAGCGCTCGGGACAACCCCGATGTCTGGAGCATCTGGCCTCATGGATTGGTTCGTGATCTATCTCATGCGCCATCGGTGGATAGCGTGTTCGCCATTGGAACGGTGCTCAGTATCTCGCTGAAGGACGTGCAGGGAGGAGGTAAGTCACCCATGCCGTTCCATCCCCGTTCAGCGCGTTCCAGACTAACATGTGACGTCTCCACCGCGCAAATAGGCTACACCTCGACAGCCGCCAGAGGTTTGCAGCAGCGGTTATCGACGACCGACGGAAAGTTTAACGTCCATTCGCGTGTTCTCGGAAATGTTTTGTACCTCATGTCTAGCGTTACTTCCCAGCCGGAGGCGCTACGCTCCATCGAGGGGTTGCTGCGGGAGACCCTCTTGTAGTGGCAAGTCCTGTGTAATTTATTGTACATTGGGATACATTGCTGTTAACGCCTCACCAAAAGTCAATGAAGAGGGGAGGGGGGAGACAAGGTAGGTAAAAAAAAAAAAAAAACTAAATAAATAAAAAAAGCCCTAGATGAGATTAATGAGTTACGGTTTTTTGAGCGAACCAAATGAAACTTCCCGTCTGGTTTACCTTCCAGGGAGAAAATTGAGTTTTCCAATGCTTGTTTCGTACGGTTATTATCGGGTAGACGATGACAATACGGAGGCTGAGGACCAAGATACTCCGCACTAATGCCCTTGTTTAGGCCATTCATTCCGGAGTAGCTGACTGTGGACACTCGAGATAAAAAGTATCCTGGAAGCGGGAGGATGCCTCGTGGAGGGATCTATATTATCATGGCATTTAAAGCAATTGCCCTCAGTTTCGGTTGTACAATGATCCTCTACTATTGATCATTACCGGGACAAGATGGCCGGTAGTGTTAGTAATTATTGCTAAGACAGTGATGATCGTACGGAGTAGGGTTGGAAGTGCCTGGCGATCATTTTAACCTTGGAACGGGAGTGTCATCAACTTCAATGGGCTTTTCCCGGTGACTCAAACCAAGTTAACCTTCGGACTAAGTCCCTCCTCCTCCGGAGTCGTACCTCTGTTTGGAAATCTCCCAATTCGTTCGATTTTTGTTCACCGACGGCCCGAGGGTCCCCAATGTTGCGGTCTGATTGGCTTGGATCGGCACGTGATGATTGCCAGACCTTCCGATGGAGGTCATAGGAATTGAACAGAGATGGATCCTCAGGCAGCAAGCATTCTATGTTTCCTTTCTCCCGGATGAATAGTACTGAGTAGCAGCACACGGTTAACCATCGTCCTCCGGTCGGTGGGGATCCTCCCACCAATACGTAACTCGCCCGCTGGATCTGCGCGTTTAATCCACAGCCTCCGTCAACGATCCATTGACCCCTCAACAGTTGGTCATTCCAGAATCTCTCCTTGGCGGGAAAGAAAAAAGTGGGCATGCTCTTCAACCTAACCCAACCCCGATCGAGGCACTCCCACGGTTGTGATTACAGAGTGAGAGTAGTGATGATGATGATGATGATGTTTATTCTTCAACCATCTACCAAGCATAGTTTGTCAATGGGTTGAACCCCTCGTTGGGGTCAACAATCAGCCCACGATAACAGACGGAAAGTCACTTCTGTTCCTGAGCCACCAGCTTTATTTGTATCAGGTGGTCGCTGACTGGGTGAAATGATTAGACTTCCCCCCTCCCCCCACTGTGAGTAATAGCAGGGAGTAACTAATTGAACAATGAACAACTAACAGCCAACTTACTCCGGGATAACAACACTGCAGCTCTTGCCCCCCCCCCCCCCCTCTCTCTCTCCTGGCCGGTGAGCATGATTTGACTACGACTACTTACTATCGACCCCTCTCATCCACTTTTCGTCTCCTTGGTCCCTTCCCGAGGTTGTGGTCTTTTCTTCGCCGTCACTTGGCGTCATTGGCCTTAATTCTTCTTCGAAGCTGTCATGGTGCTTTTGTATCCCCTCTAATCTAAGTACTGCCTTCCTTCCGCTTCCATTGGATTTCGATCATTCTTCTACATTACGATCACCATGTCACTACTCCCGCGGTCCGTTCCTCGGATCATCCTACGAAGGTCCTATGGTACCGTCCAGTCCTCCCCCAGTGCGGCTTCAATTGCCAGCAGAATCCCGGTGGCTCTGCAAGAGGCAACGGCCGCAACGGTGCCCCGGACCACTTGGACCCGCGAAGAGGTCCAGCAGATTTATGAGACTCCGTTGAACCAACTGACCTATGCGGCGGTATGTGGCTACTTTTCCAATTTATGTCGCTTTGTGTATTGTTTGCTGTTGATTGTTCTTTCAATATGATCCCGCGATCTTGGAAGCAAGTTTACTCATTCTAAAACCAGGCTGCCATTCACCGTCGATTCCATGACCCGTCCGCCATTCAGATGTGTACCCTGATGAACATTAAGACCGGAGGATGCAGTGAGGATTGTTCCTACTGCGCTCAATCGTCGCGTCACAACACCGGGTTGAAGGCGACAAAGATGAGCCCCGTGGATGATGTGCTGAAAGCCGCCCGCATTGCTAAAGCGAATGGAAGTACCCGTTTCTGTATGGGTGCGGCCTGGCGTGACATGCGCGGTCGCAAGACAAGTCTCAAGAATGTCAAGCAGATGGTGTCGGGCGTCCGGGAAATGGGGATGGAGGTTTGCGTTACTCTGGGCATGATTGACGAGAACCAAGCCAAAGAGCTGAAGGATGCCGGCTTGACGGCTTACAACCATAACCTGGACACGTCCCGGGAGTTCTACCCCACCATCATCACGACCCGGTCGTACGATGAGCGCTTGAAGACTCTCTCTCATGTCCGTGACGCGGGCATCAACGTTTGCTCCGGTGGTATTCTGGGCCTCGGTGAGGCGGACTCCGACCGTATCGGTCTCATCCACACAGTTTCCTCTCTACCTTCCCACCCGGAATCCTTCCCCGTCAACGCTCTGGTCCCCATCCCGGGTACCCCACTGGGTGAACGCAAGATGATCTCCTTTGACAAGCTCCTCCGCACCATCGCAACGGCCCGTATCGTTCTCCCCGCGACGATCGTCCGCTTGGCCGCGGGCCGCATCTCTCTTTCCGAGGAACAACAAGTCCAGTGCTTCATGGCCGGTGCTAACGCTGTCTTTACCGGCGAGAAGATGTTGACGACTGATTGCAATGGCTGGGATGAAGATCGCGAAATGTTTGAGCGGTGGGGCTTTTACCCCATGAAGAGTTTCGAGAAGGACGCCGACGCCTCCGTCTCGAAGGAATCCGCTCCGTCGGAAAATGTATCCGCTGCGCCGGCCGCCGCGAGTTCGTAAATAGTTCTGTTTAACCCCTCCACTACATTTGAGATTATCATATCACTCTACCCGCCCTCCTCGCATGAGTCAACTCTATGAGGCATTATTATGATCCAATAGAAATCGTTCGATCGACCGCTATAGATGCCTGGTCCCCTCCACTCGTAGAATTGATTCGACCCCCGGGCTCTGCCCATGTCTTGGAAATCCCTTGGCAAGTATCTATGATGCGGACAGCGGTGCAATGGCTCTTGTCTGTATCACCCAAATAATGACGGTTGCCTAATACTTATCACATGAGGCTGGTTCTGTGTTTCTTTGCCCCTCCATGGTGTATTTAAGGGCCCTGTTCTTCCGCCCCCCGCTCCCATTTTCCTCCCTAGGCGACCCTTCCGACTCGCTCGGAGCCTGATTACCAGGGCATTCTATTTTCTCTCCCGGTGGCTGGGGTTACCAGATCACTACTTTGCTCATGATACTAACATCTTTCTCTAAGTTTGACTAACCTGGCTATGATCGCAGATGATACCCGTCGATTTTCGTCTCCACCTGATGCACACCACGGAAGAGCAACGAGGTTCGTGTTTCACTCCACTTCCCGTTCCTACAAAAGACAACAGGCTTGAAAAGAGAAAAGAAAAATGGTATTTGTCTATGAACTATGCTCATTAAGTATATACGCCAAACTCATGATCACGTCTCGCAGTGATAACATTTATCATCAACGCAAGGTAATGCCTTAATAACCCTCCGAGGGTCGTCTCAATCAGACCGACAAATGAAGATTAATGTTGGAAACTGGGAATCTAAATGCCCGTGACGAGATGGTCTCGCCAGGGTCTCCCGTACACGATGAGCGGAATCAAAATCTGCAAGGAAGCCATGGTATCGTGTTTTTAAACCATGGACTTTTCGATCTTCAAGTCGCTTGCGGTTTGTGTATCAGACCGGCTCATCGTGGTGTACCGGCTGAAGTCGTTAGGGAGCCTCTTGTCACCCTCGTTCTTGTGACGGTACGCCTGGCGCCGGAAAAAGATCCGCTTGCACCACTTCCACAGCTCAACGCCCATGAAGAACAGGATTGCCTCCACGAAGACCACTCCCCATTCCCAGGAGATGCCGGTGTGCTTAAATACCACATCGTTGAGCCCAGGGATATACAGAATTGGGAATGTGGTGATAAATCCGATCATGATACCGGTGAAAAGGAACTTGTTACGCCAAACATCAAACATCCACTGGGTAAAGTATCGCTTGGAGTTAGGCTGCATGCGGAAGAAACTGCGTCGCATGTCAATCTGTTCCCACGCCAGGAAGAGTGCGAACCAGGTCATGCAAACGAATGTTGTTGCACGAGCACGGAACACCGTTTCACAGTTTCCATCATAGTGGGCGCTGCCATTGTAGCTAGTGTTGCAACCACTTCCGAGGTCGCCGTCACCCCATCCATACATCACCAGGGAGAAGGATGACAGGCACAGCGCAGCCATCCAGACACCATATACAAGAGTGTCCACAATGACTTCCCATGTGAAGATACCTTGCTTCTGTTGTGTGTGTTAGCAGTGGGCTCAGGATTGAGAGTGAAAGAAAAGAGGCAAAAAAAAA